TTTCGAAGATCTTCGGCCGTTAGCCAATCAAAATCGAGGATCTGCCGTGCATTTTTTGTGCGGCACCTAGGGTAAATGTTGTTCTTAACTGCTGCCATTATATCTCCCGTTACCTTATATTTTAATTTGTTTTATCTGGCTTTTTTGTTTATCCGGAACTTTTATCTAACGTTTGAGGCGTTAGAGGCATCATGCCATCACGTTAGCCTCATTAAAACCAGTTTTAAACATATTTATTGCTTATTATTTGTTTGTATATATTTCTAAAAAAAAAAATTATTTGAATAATAATCATTAAAAACAGTATAAAAATTTTGAAATTATTCATTTTCTCATCCTTCAAAAATCGTAAAAAATTTTCATTATCCTAATAATCATATTCTTAAAAAAAAATAAAACTCTTATTATTAATCATGAGTACAACTCAACAAATAAATAATGAACTTGAGAAATTTAAAAATGATTTTAATATACCACCTGAAAAATTTGCAAACTTAAAAGATTTAGTATGTAAAATATCTATTACACAAATATATGAAATACCTACTAATGAACTTGAAAAGTATAAAATAACTAATGAAGATTTAGAGAAATTTAAACGAATATATGAAATATCTGATGATGAACTTAAAAAATTGCAAAAGTATGAATTAACGGATAAAGATTTTGATAATTTGAAAAATACGTATAAAACATTTGCTGAAAAACTTGATAATTTGAAAAATACGTATAAAACATTTGATGAAAAACTTGATAACCTGAAACAAAACCATAAATCAGAGAAACCAACGTATGTAATACCTGGTGAAGAAGTTGATAGATTGAAAATACCTGGTGAACTTAAAAAATTTCAAAAATATGAATTAACTGATAAGGATTTTGATAAATTGAAAAATATGTATAAAGAACTTGATGACCTGAAACAAAAACATAAATTATCAGAAGATGAATTGAAAACAACGTATGTAATACCTGGTGAAGAAGTTGATAAATTGAAAATATCTGGTGAAAAGCTTAAATTTTTTCAAAAGTACCCTAATGAATTGATGATACCAACGTATGTAATACCTGGTGAAGAAGTTGATAATTTGAATATACCTAGTAAAGAATTTGAAAAATTGCAAAAGTATGAATTAACTGATGAGGATTTTGAAAATTTGAAACAAATGTATAAAACATTTGATGATGAACTTGATAACCTGAAACATAAATTATCAGAAGATGACATTAATAAATTGAAAATACCTAGTAAAGAATTTAAAAAATTGCAAAAGTATGAATTAACTGATCAGGATTTTGATAAATTGAAAAATACATATAAAAAAGAACTTGATGACCTGAAACAAAAATATAAATTATCAGAAGATGACATTAATAAATTGAAATCAACGTATGTAATATCTGGTGAAGAAGTTGTTGATAAATTGAAAATACCTGTTGAAGAACTTAAAAAATTTCAAAAATACCCTAATAAATTGAAACCAACGTATGTAATACCTGGTGAAGAAGTTGATAATTTGAAAATACCTAGTGAAGAATTTAAAAAATTGCAAAAGTATGAATTAACTAATAAGGATTTTGAACATTTGGAACAAACGTATAAAACATTTGATGAAGAACTTGAGAAGCTGATACAAAGTCATAAATTATCAGAAGATGACCTTAAAAAATTGGAATCAACGCATGTAATACCTGGTGAAAAAGTTGATGAATTGAAAATGCCTGGTGAAGAACTTAAAAAATTGCAAAAATATGAACTATCAAATGTCGAACTTAATAAATTAAAACTAAAGTATGAAATATCAGATAATGAACTTGATACATTAAAAAAAAAATATACTATGCCTGATGGTGATTTTAATAAATTGAAAACAACGTATGGAGTATTTGATTATGAATTTATGAAACTAGAACGAATGCAAGAACTTAAAAAATTGAAAACTGCTCTTGATGAATGGAAAAACACCCGGTATAAGGCTTATAGTCGTTCAATTCTTTGTCTTATTATTAGTTCAATGGGGCTTGTAATTAGTATTTTTCTTTTAGTTTCATACCAAAGTGTGATTGAGTCAGGCATTACGAATATCGTTTCAGGAATTTATGCAGCAGGAAGCTTTTCCGTAATGATTACAAACCTGAAAACTCTTAATGACATTTATACTGGAGGCAAATCAGATAAATCAGATATTAAGGAAGAGGAAATTTCCGATGATCTTATTAAAAAATCTCTAAAAAATCATCCTCATAGTCTTTATCCAAAGATATTTTTTGTGGAAGCAGTTAGAAATAATATAAGTTATTTATTGACCGTGCAGACTATAATTGCTATTATAACATCAGTTATTTTATTAATTACATCTATTATTACTATTTTATACTGGTTTTATGGATCTGATGAATTTCAGTCTGCAAATTATGCTCTCATTGTGATGTCTAGTATTGGTCTATATGAGTCTATTGGTTTCGTGATTGGCATTAATCTAATTATTCATTCACAAACTCACAAATCAAACAAGAATATAATAGCAAAACATGAAAAGGCTCCAAATAATGTTCCAAATGAAAAGTGCAAAATTTTGTTTAATATTTTGGATTTTTGCACAAACCTGTGTTCAAAGGTGATGGATTTTTGCGCAAATCTGTATTCAAAGGTGAATTGTTGCGCAAATCAAAATGAGGCTCCAAATAATGATTCAAATAAAGATAAGAAAAAAGGTGTGAATGTAGTGGTCATTGAGGTGACAGTCGCTCTAATGTGTGAGATAGAAGGATTAACGGATTTGACTAAAGAAGTTTATAAAGAAAATGCCAAAGTTATTAAGGAAGATATTAATGATGCTGACGTTTATTTTAATGAAGAAGTCCATTTGGTTGACTTTTTTAAGGAAGCAAGCCCTTCTTTTAAATTTATTGAGATATTGATCTTTTCGATGTTTTTCCCTGTAGTCTTCATATTTGGTGTAGTATTTATTAGTAAAAAATGGAAATTTAAATTAAGAAGAACTCATATAGATGATTTGGAGATAGAAATTATTAATAATAATATTTCTGGATTGGATTCATATCCCCCTGATCTTGAATCACTAATCAATTGTTAATATCATTCCCAAAATTTATGTATATAAAAAAAAATTTTCATTAATTTTCATTGAGAATATAATGGGATTAAATGCAGTAGAGAAGGTTAAATAAACCCTACATTACGTTTAAAAAAATAGATTATTGATCGACTTAACTCCAGAGGGAGGCCCTTGAAGGCGGAGGTAGGAGGTTATGAATATATGTAGTACTGTATTCCACTAAAAAAAAAAAAAGTTCGTTACTAGTTTAGATTTTTTAAAAAATATTGTATTTATTCATAATTTTTTTTAATAAAAATAAAAATAAACTTATTTTTGCTTATCGTTCTAATTGTTGATTAAACAATGTCAATTCAAAGTATTGCTGAAATTTTTTTAAAGGAAAGTTGCTTCGATAAGCGCCTGGAACGGACAAGAACAAATTCAAGCGTCGATATAAGAAGGAAAATGAAAAAAGAATCTTAATATAATATAGCTTTTTCTTTTGTGAATACAAATATCGTAACAAATAATTTGAGCAAATGATTTTTTAATACAATTTATTAAATTGTGTATATATTTTTATAAAAGCTAACGATATTAGTGATGCGTAAAAACTTTTAATGGCTTATACTGTAATCAGTTACAGCATAAGCCATAAACAAATCTTCAATCGATATGTACATCGTATATGTTACTATTCAGCGAAGAGAAAGAAGCATAAACATACATACTCAGAGAAAATTTAAACTTAGATAACTTTGTCTTAGAAGTATGCTAGAGAGATTGGAGGAGTATGTTAAACGAATTGTAATTTCAAATCGCTTACCGTAATCTCAAATTTTGGCCAAAATTAAGCTTAATTCGGACCATTATTCAAAATAACGCTCATGAGCGTTATTACGCGAAAATGCGGTATCTTCCTGGATGCATGTTATAATGACCGGGATAATGCACAACTATTATAATTTTAGCTACCTTTCTAAAATTTTAAAACCACAATAGATAAATTATATATTATTGAAAGTTTCATATTACAGTAGTTAATATATGATTTTGTTAATGGTAATAATACAACGTATCACTAAAAAAGAATTATTGTTCTTTTAAATTTACTAAAAAAAATTTTATTAATAGTAATACTTTAATCAATAATAAAGGTCCAAAAAAGATATATATATATATGAAACTGCTTAAACAATAACTTATTTACTTTAGGAGAGTTATAAAATTTGATAAACTAGCGCTAAAAAAAATTTGTTGACCAGGTGATAAACTCACTAGACACCATCCACTACAGTATTTAAAATTCTTCGTTGATGTAATACTGTAATACTGTAAACTATGTAACATATCTATAATAAACGCGTTTGATCCGTTAAAATATTTTTCATTAATTACATTATAAAATTTAATTTTCGACACATTTTGACTCATCCTTATTAGTGTTGTAAGCCACATGACTTTAGTCGGCTGGCTAACAGCAGACTAATAGTCTACTTTTCGAAATACTTTGGAAATTTTCTCAAAGTATTTTATGTTTATTCATTTTCCTTCTCAGAATTTATAAGCCTACTATTCATAAATTATGTAACTATTAGCTGCATTAGCCAGCTGACCATATTATTTCAGCTGGCTTAGTTGGCTAAGCCGGCTTACAACACTAGCCCTTATACTGTACGTGTTGCAATACTTTTTTTTTTTTTTTTTTTTTGTATAAAGATGATGCGTAGTTAAAATATTTGGGTCCATATCACTTCGTAGAAGTTTACTTCACCGACACCTTGTTTCACAGGCAATCAATTCATAGATGGGTTTATTTTAAAGACAATTAATTTACAGACAGTTCATTTCATAGACAGTTCATTTTATAGACATTTTATTTTGTAGACTGTCTTTAATACTAATTTAAAAGTTATTTGCTATTAAAGATTGTCTATAAAATAAATTTGTCTATAAAATAAACTGTCTATAATATAAACTGTCTATAAGTTAATTGTCTTTAAAATGCACTTGTCTATGAACTGATTGTCTATGAAACAAGGTGTCTATGAAATAAACTTCTACGAAGTGATACAGACTCTAAAATATTTATAGTAGAGATTAAGATAGTATGTCATAAGTTCGTAAAAGAAATTCTTCATAGAAATTTCATTATGCTATACTGTATAGAGATTTTACCTACAGTATAACCTATGCTTACTACTGTATAACACTAAAAAAGGGTAATATTAAGGTTCACTCCTTTAATTCTGGCTATTAAAAAAAGAATCACTCATAAAAGATAAATTTTATAAGTTTTGCTCACTATATATTTGTAAATTTTCTTATTTAAATCTATATAAAAATAGTATATATTATAGGTTTATACTATAGTAATACTATATTTTTTAGGGACTTATATCTATTAAGCATGAAGGTTAAACGGTCAATAAACTATTTAAAAAATTACTAAAGTATATAATGGTCAAATTTTATCTAAATTTATTTAAAATTTAAATACTGTAAAAATTTTTATTAAATTTCGCTTCGATTTATTTATCTGGTTTAAAATTCACGGTTAATCGGCATGTGACCAATGGTTAAAATCTATTACTATATTAATATGCGGAATCTGCGGTGTGCAAATTGAAAATTCATTCCGTAAGAAAATTTTCTTGGAATCTGTAGATTTTATTATGTGCCATACATATTGTGCATCTTTTTTTTTGAATTTTTATTATGCTTACAAAAATTATCAAGCTTTTTCGCAAATTAATAAACATTGATTAAAAATCCGTGTAACAGCATATACGCGATCATTTCCATATTTGGATTAGTCCCTAAAGTACAAAAGGGCAAGCTATATATCCAGTGCTTTTTCACCGGACACTGGACATTTCCAATTTGTCCATTGTAATGTCCAGTGCATTTTATAAAAATTCAAAAAATAAATAAATTGGTAAAAACATAACATAAATAATAAATATCCTTAGGAAGTCAATTTGTAAAGGTTAGTATTTCAAATGCTGAACCACCCAAAGCAATATGCACGATAGACAGGTTTTGTATTTA